AGCCTCTACATACCTCTGGTGAGGTGGCCAAAGTGCATCCTGTCCCACCATTCAGTATCAACTGCACTTAACAGTTAAGTCACCATTAGTTGGTGCAATACTGTTGTGCTGTCTCCCACCCAGAGGTAGGAGAATCTGCAGTACTGTTGGGAGTCACTCTGTAACCTCTGAAATTTAAACATGCAGTTTTAGCTGCTCCACGTGTGGGGGTTAAGAGAAAAGAGGGGGAGATGTTTGTGTTCCTTCCCAGGGGTGGGAAGGGGGTTGTAGAAGCTTTCTGTCCCACCTTCGGTGCTTTTTCCCCTCCCCTCTCACTTCACGTATCGGTGCCTCACTTCAGTCTGTTCCCAGAAACACAAGTCTTCTGCAGAGAGCAGCAGCATCCTCAGTAAATGGAGGCTGAAGGATTCAGAGGACTGACCAAACACATGGATTCCTAATTGCTCTTCAGGTGGTCATCCTAGTGCCTGCCCGACCTTCGGGTTGGAGAGGTGCCATGCTGCTGTGAGTGCCAGCAGTACACTGCCTCTCCATAATGCCAGGATTCATTTTGCCCTTCGTGGAGGGGCGACCAGCACAGAGGGAATCACATCTCCTCATGGAGATCAGGGAATACCCGCTGAGCATCACGTCTTGAGGGGAATGTTAGTTGAAGCTCAGCAAGTAACACTAAAGCTTTAGTGGTCAAGATAGGGTCAAAGAGAAACTCCTCAAGTAGAAACCCAGGCACCACGATTTGGTCAGTACCCAGAGCCACAGGTGCTGCCAGGCGTTATGCCCAGTATTTGCCAAGTATTTGTTTGTGTGGGTTTGGAAGAGGTTAAGTGGAAAGAGGCTCCAAGAAAAATTCGGCTCCTGTATTGCAACCCTTTGGCAGAGCATTGTCTTCCCCCAGGTTACAGGGCAGAATAAAAATCTTGATGATATCTGTCTCGGATAGTTTTCTCCTCCAAGCACTGAAGCACCTCTCTTGGACTACTCCGGCAGTCCATACCTTCGTGCTGACCAGCAGACCTGTAGCACAGAAGTGGACAGGGCCATTTCTGAGACCATCTCCATTAGGAACTCCAGGATTGCACCATCCCATGACTACCCACAGCCAGCTCTACCTGCTAGACCTTCTCAGGAAACACACTTTCTGGCTTCCTCTGGTGTTGTGGACAAGCACCCTGAGTGGAAGGCTGGGTGGTGGGCCCATTACTTGCTTTTGCCATACTCCCTCCCTAAGAGAAGTGTTTGGCTCTTGCAACGCACGTGTGTGTGTGAAGCCACCTCAGGGAAAGAACCAGAGAGGATGTAGTACAGGAGCCTAGGGAGCAGTCCAAGGTCATTAAAGAAGGGGTTGATCTGAGATACGAAAGAGAAGGAGAATAAAGGCATTCCTGAAGATGGGTGGGGAGTGGCTCCAGAGCTGCAAAGTGCAGCACCAGATGCTGACTGAAACTGCTATAATGATCCCCAAGAGTCTTAAAAGCAGATGGTAGGAGATACTAGAGGCTGGAATCCCTCTGGGAGGGCCAAATAGGAGATACTGAGATTGGGAACAATAGTGTGATGGCCTCTCCCTATGGCACCCTACAAAGCTGTCTACGTCGCCTTTCCCATTTGTCCCGCTAGGCAGGAGCAGCAGCATTTGTCCTTGCCCACAAAGGAAGTGGAGAAGCAGTCCTTCCCTTTATTGGCCACTCTCAGGAATGGAATTCATGGACCCGAAAAACCTGGAGCCTCCCTTTAACACCACAGACTGCCTGCAGGCCAGGCAGACCTTTAGTTTCAGTGCCAGGGCCTGCATACTCATCTCTGAGTGCTTCCACCACTACCTGCAGATCGAAGTCTCCTGCCTTATCCAACAGCAAGAGCTCAAGTTCTGTAGTTTTTTCAGCAGTCTCAGTGAACATCTAGGGTTGGTAACACCCTGGTGAGTAAACACTACACAAGCATTTGCTTTGCGGAGATCCAAAAGTAACAAAAAACCATCCAGAGACACAGAATGCATGAACAGAGAGGACTTGCTCTGCTGTTGTTCCTGATGTTCAGTTTGGTTTCCTAAGAGAATTTGATTTATACGCTACTTCTCCTTTGAGTTTGTTGGCCAGTTTCAGCTGTTGAGAGATCTGACATGGCAGGATAGGCTAATCTGAAATACGTCAAGTATGTGCTTGGTCCATGAAGCCTGGCATCCAGGCAGAGCGGCAAGAGGGAGCCCCAGCCAGATGTTCTGAGCACGGGAAGGGAGGGTGGGACATCACTGCGGCCGGTACCTGGCCATGGCCAGGGCAGAAAGCGCTGCTTGGCGGCCAGCCAAGCAGGCAGGGGCTGCGTGGGAGAGCGGAGGACAACGTGGCAGGGCTTAGGAAATGTAGTTTGGAGGTGGTATGGGAGGAGAACTGGGAACATGAGGAGGACAAGAAGCTTCTGCTGTAGGAAACCAGGGCTGGGGGATGGAGGGCCTGGAGATGGTGGTGGGTGCTGTGTGCGGAGCAAGGGGAGAGCTCGACGCCTCCTGGCTGCTCGGTCACAGGCAGAAAAAAAACAGGAAAACTCACCCATTTATCTTACTCAAGAAGTGAGGAAGCTCACCCCAACTGACCTGTTTACTTCATTCGAGAAAAGAGGAAAGTCACCCAAAAGAGGAGGCGGTAAACTACATTTAGCTGCGTTTAGCCGCCGCTTGTTAACCTCGTTTAACCCCGCCGCCTCCTCCTCAGTCTGGGGGTCACAACGCACCGCGGAGCATCTGCCTCTGCCTCCCGGGGCCGAGGGAGCACAGAGCTTCGCTTCGGGTTGCGCGTTCACTGAGCGGAGACCCTTCCAACCCCCCCTTTTTCTCCTCGTGGTGGGCTTTCTTTGTGGGTTCCCTCCCGGGAGCGGGAGAGGGGGGAGGCAGCGGCCCCCCCGGCGGGGACATCCCCGCGTTAGGGGTCAGGCGCCGCAGCTCCTCCGGGGCGCATCGCTGCGCCGCCGGAGGCGGGGGGCGGCTGTGCCCGGAGGCTTGAACTGCCTTGGTTTAGGCAGAAGCGGTGCGTGCAGGCAAGCCCAGGGC